GAGATGATGGATAAGTGAGAGGTCACCGGGCCCGCAAGAACCCGGCTGGTAGACACCTCCCAGGACACTCTTGTGCCCGGCGCTGAGCTGGATGGATACCCACAAGACTTCATGCTGGGGGGCAGCCAGTTGATCCATGATCAAGGCTGGGAGAGTAGATCGCACCCAGATTATTATTATTATTATTATTAGACACAATCTCATAGCATGTGACAAGCATAGCTAATGCAGGGACAGAATCCCCTGAGACAAGGGCGTTGAGCCAGCCACGGCAATAGTAAGCTAGGAAAACAAAGCAAATATGAATTAAAGCAGAAAATGAATGGAAAATTACAAAGAAAAACGAATAACGGAAGTGAGCACTATCAAAATTCGTGCAACACCCAGGTATTCGAGAATGTTCTTCGTTGATAATTATTGCGTCTAGTTCAGTTGTGATAGTAGATCTTTAAACTGACCAATAGAAGAACAAGTTTTCAGATCGTATGGTAATGATAAACAATGAGAGTGGCCGGAAAACAAAGGGGACTTTAGATACTGGGCTGACTTAACAAGAGGCAGGATGAGCGCGTTACGGGTTGAGCTTGTCGAAAACCAATTGTACTTCATCATGTGTGAAGGGGTTTTATGAAGAAATATTTTATGAACCAGTGTACAGAGATGGTGCTTATGACGAACGGAGACAGAAGAAGTGTGTGCAAGTCGATAAAGGGCGTCCGAAGGAAAATATCGATCCTTGCTGTAAAGTATTTTAAGTATAAATCTATGGTGGACTTCTAATTGGTTCAGAGTTGTGTCAGAAATGCCACACCAAGCGGTATCGCAATAGACGAATATAGGGAGAATATAGCACTGATAAAATAATAGTTTACACTGGATGGGCAAATGAGTGCAATGTGGTTGTAGTACCCCTAATGCTGAACTGGTTCGCTTGCATACATAGTTGACATGTGCAGCCCAAGAGAGTTTGCAGTCAAACATCACACCTAGATGTTTGTGCTGAGTAACAACACGGATAGGCATAGTCGAGTCAGGGAAGTATAATGGTTGATCAGGAGGGGATGAAGAAATATACATGGCTTCTGTCTTGTCTAAATTGGGCTGGAGTTTCCACGTTTGCATCCACATGACAGTGCTGTTGATGCGATGCTGCATGGTAAGGAGTAATTGTGCAGGGAGGAATCAGAACAGATAAGGCCAGTGTCATCCGCATACAAACCAACATCGGGGACAACTGAAGGTAGGTCATTAACGTAAAGCAAGAATAACAAAGGACCCAGAATGGAACCTTGGGGCACTCCAGACGTTACAGTCAGGGGATCAGACAAGAAATAGAACAAGCGAACAGCCTGAGAACGAGCAGACAGATACGAGGATATCCAATGCAAGGCAGCATCCTCCACCCGGAAGGTGACCTCCAACTTGGCAAGTAGGCCACGATGCCAATCGGTGTCGAATGCTTTAGCCAAGTCGAAAAACACCATTCCCACGTGCTCCCCACAGTTCCTCTTTGTCGCTATGTCTTGGACAAGTCGAGTCACCTGGTATTGAGTGGAGTCACCACGGCAGAATCCCGACTGAGCTGGTGAGAGAGCCGGAGCGATGTGCAGGTAGAGGGAATCGAATACAATACGCTCACAAAGTTTAGAAACTGTGCGCAGCAGAAAGATGTGGCGGTAGTTTGCCGGGCAAGCACGGGAGCCTTTATTCTTGTAAAGCGGTGTCACGATGGCGGATTTCCAATCCTGTGGGAATGTACCAGTTCGAAATGACATATTAAAAATAATGGCGAGAGGATAGGCTATTGATGGTGCAAGAGACTGCAGCACTTCATTCGGGATCCCATCTGAGCCGGGAGACTTTCCACATTTCAGGCGCTTCAGATATTTCCGAACTTGAAAGGTAGTGACAGTGATTGTACGGAACGGAACAGATATGAAAGGCGACTGGGACAAAGGGGGAATGCGCCACGAAGGATCATCAGGTAGCCCAAATGAGGTGAACTGAGTGTTCAGAACATCAGCTATGCTCTTGGGGGACGTGGCGACCGTACCGTCGGATGCTATCATCGTTTGGGGCATGACACGGCCGGAAGTGTGCCGCTGTGCTCGCACACACTGAAAGAGTGTAGGTCGATTCGGTGAAGTTAGTGATGCTTGGATGGAGCGAATATATTGGCGATGTGCTTGCCGAGACAGGTGCTTTACAGCATTCCTTTGTCGGTTATAAGCTGCATGATTTACTGCTGTCGGATATGTTTTGTACACACTATATAGATCACGCTTGCGTTTTACAGCAGACCTGAGCTCAGCAGTAACCCATAGTGGAGATTGCATGCGGGGTCGTGGAGATGTCACAGTGTGGGTGGCTCCGAATGAAGTGAGGTGCCGACGGAAGGCGGACTGGAGCTCACAATCAAAGTGATGAAGTGCGTCATTAACATCAGTGTACGAGACGTAGGTCACAGGAAACTCCGGAAGAGAGATCCCGTTGACTCCAGAACGCCCGTGATCGGCAGAGTCAGCACCGGTCCCAGGACACGTCAGGCCAGACATCCCGTCAACTCCAAAATAGTTATTTTTCTCTAATTTCGTCCACTTTTGGTTTGCTTTCTTTTCGTTTTCAAAACTCAAATCGGCCAAAGTTTAATGACGGTGAAGAGTTTCGTTTTGAGATTGGCCAAAGTTTCTCATCAGCCAACATTAATTTTATTGATTTACATTGATTTACAGTATAAGGAGATAAAAGGAAAAGAAAGAGCAAACCAAAAGTGGATGAAATTAAAGAAAAATAACAATCCGCAGTAAATTCTGCAAGTACTTTTGCCTAACTCATATTCAAACTGATTGAACCGTGTTTGCAATACAATGATGTGGCCAATCAACGGAAAAAACATTTCCATCAGTTCTAATAACATGTACGAGGAGCTAGGCAAAGAAGCGTAAGAGCAAAGCGTAGGGCCCTGAGCTTCCAAGCTCTCTCGTTCGGCGGCTTAGTGTGTGGCGATAAATTTCAGAATGAGATCACAGTGCCGATTGTTCACAACAAGCTGCGACCTCTTTCATCTTCGATTGTCTATAACTGGAGTCATTCTCCACTCGAATCAACAAACAGGGAGACATAGGTAGGAACAACACGATAAAGCCTCCACGAACCAATTTCCGAGTCGATGATTTCTCTTTCAGATCAATGTGGAACTCTCTGAGATAAAATTTTAAATATGAAGGGAAATTCCCGCGGGCGCTCCTCAAAAGTCACGTTTCGCGCCGGTGGTTCTTGCGAGTGTAGATGCAAGTGCACTTGCACGCCACTTGAAAGAGGACGCTACTACTTGGTCCGCGTCAGCAATATTGCCGGCTATCTTTCGACAATTTGAACTTAGACTTTGGACATGAACGCGTGCACTTGTAGTGATAAAACTTGGTACGATGGACGGTAAGGTATAGAATGACAACTAGCTGTAAGGAATTTATTATCCAAGGAAGGGTTCCTACTTTTTTCGGTCCTCTTCGTCGCTGCTCTCGACGCTGGTGACAAATATTTTTGCTCGGGTTCGACTCTCTTGCTTTTGCAAGCTCATCTCTCTTCCTCTCCGCTGCCTGGCTATTTTCTAAACAGAAGTCGATCGTGATGGTCGCCTTCTCTATAGGACTTCGCGTGGGCAGTACGACAGCCTGTGTGGTTCAAATCAGACGCCGTTCTTTGCAAGATTTATTTTGAACGACGACGACGACGCGTACAGTACTTGCAAATCTCCACGACGCACTGGATACTCCGAGCGTGGAGTTGGAGGTAAGGGAGCTGAGATCTCAGCTTGACGAGCGATGCCTGAGGTGAGCGATCTCGGCCGTTCAGCAAAATGGAGCTGATTCCGAGTAGCCGATTACTTTCTTGTGGCTTGCGCTGCTCTTGCCTGCACAGCGTAACAAGATAATCTATTTTTGATTCGGCGCTGTATCAATCAGAATCGACCACCCGTCGCTCTCGAAATCCACTCGAACTGTAGCTAGACCTTTCAGGTACTAGTAAACTAACTTACTAACGAAAATTGGGATGAAATGGGATGCCAAGTGAGCTTTGGCGACATATAAACAAAGCTGAAAGATAAGCGACAATATCGCTGACGCGGACCAAGTACGTTTCACACCTGTAGTGTGGATAGGGCCTAATTCCCACGCCCGTGCCGGGGACAACCATGAACAAGAGGTTGGTGCGACTTCGGCGTTATTTCGGGTGTTGTGCGAAGCGATTACAAGAATGGCGAACGAACCTCGTCTCTAGCTTCAATTTAAGAAAATCTAGGGCGAGTCTTGGTTTGAAAGTTTGACAAAGTCTGGCTTCTGGCAGCCAACGATCACTGGGCTAAACATTTCACAAACCACTTTTGGTCCAAAAATCGTCCGGGATCGGTCGCGGGGCAAATCGCAAGATTTTAGCACTGTCTACTTTTGCTGGGGGTCCCTTGCGATATTTTACAGTATGATTCTGTTACGATTGCACTGGTTCACATAATCGTAATGCGCCGGGAGAGGGTGCAAGAGGCCCACTCCCGTTCACTCCCGGCGTGTACCTGCGATACGGGAGGCAACCCTGACATGTTCTGTACCTTGCTGGCAAAGACTTCTGGCCACTTGTTGAAAGTGACACTACTTGATAGAATGCGTGTGTATGCGAAGTGTACGGCGAGAACGTGTGCCGCGCAGCGCGATAGTGCGGCTTCCAACCTAGGTTATGTGTTGAAAAAAAGGAAAACAAATTGAAAAAATGAAATGACTGACCTTGAAAGCTCAGGGCCCTACGCTATGTATTTTGCCTAGCTTATCATGCATGTTATTCGATTTGTTGGAAACGTTTTTGCTACAAAGATGTAGTCGATCAGTATTAATAACATGCATAATGAGCTACGCGAAAAGCAAAGCTTAATGCCCTGAGCTGTTGAGCTCTCCGGCAGTTTCTGTAAACACTCTACTTGCATATATGCACAATGTACATGTACATACCTGTTGATTCAGCAGTAGACGAATTCCTTCAGTGCTAGCGACGAAGTTTGACAGAGTTGGCTTTTGGCAATAGACTACGAAACTCGATAAAAACTTTTTTCACGTCTTAATCATACTCGCAATGAATGTTGCAGTCAGTCGAACGTCGCTTGCCAATGGACGAATTTCATCCATTACCACCCTATTTTACGGTGAATATACACTACCTCCGCCAGCGGGAGTAACGTGAATACTGGACTATGCACACGTGAATGATGCAGTCGCTAAGGCCGTTGTAAAATTTGCCATCATGGAGAAACGGAAGCCAATATCAACACATAGTGTCACCCAGCTGCTGGACACCTGTCAAATTTTCATTCACATGCGATGGGAACTTTTTTTTAGTCATACCTACCTCTCAAGGTTATCTGATTTTGTGAGCTTTGTGATCCGTGAAAATTACTAATCTGTCTTCTGGATAAAGTGAGGCACCCACAAGCCAGGAAAACATGTAGTTGAGAGTTCGACAAGGTTCTTCTGTATCATGTTGACTGTAAGAGTGAACTTTGAAGGTGGCCAGAAGCTTCTTAAACTGTTACTCTATTCTTTCATCAATTAACTTTAGCTTCATACATACACATCGGGTCGAGTATATTGATGTAGAGCAGACCTGTGGATTTTTGAAATACTTTGTAGTCTTCGAACCTTTTTAATCTTTCAGAATATTGCTACTTTCACAAAATTAATACCATTAAGAACTCAGGTGGTGAGCAAAGGAAAGAACTGTAAAATGGAAATTGTGGGCACAAGTTGTACGATCGAGTCCACCAACTAAACCAGATTTTGAACAGTCAGACGTCACCAAATTATTATTTTTGCTACTTGATCCTGCAACCTACCCCCCCCCCCCTTCGATGCCAGGTTGCAACGCTAATGTCAAAAACTCTGGTCGGTCAAGTTGCTCCCTGTACATCGGCACGTCGGCCCTTCATCCCCTATGTCTTGCTTTGTGTTTGTCACTTTATATGGCTGTGTTCCCAGTAAGACTAAAAAACAAAGAACAATTCAAATGCACATTTATATGCAGGCGCTAGAGACATAAATAATCGATTTTCTCGAAATTGTAAATTCAGTGGGATTCCTTCACCCCTTCACCCCTTGATTTCGACCTCTTTCGGACTGGCCGATGTCGGCATTGACTACAGTTGCAGTCAACCTTCGCAGAAAAATAATTGCATACATGTTGAGTGTAGAAAACATCCACTCCCAGCGACTCCACGGCGAAAATTGCTTATTTGGCGAAAATGTCGGCGGTTCCTTCAAAACCACTTTTTTCGTGGACTTGTTCGGCTTACCAAAATGGAAATCTCCTACTCATGCAGCGAACATTCTCAATAAGGTTCCCTCCAAACAAATACATCTGTAGCGAGCCACAGTCTCTCTCGGAGGCAAATGCACACGGGTCTCAGTGAACACACTGTAACTGGCAATTGAAATGTAACTATAACTGACAATGAAATTAACTGACAATGAAATTAACTGCCAATGAAATTAACTGGCTACTTAATTAACTGACAGGCAATAAAAGAATCGTTAGCAGCAGCTTTTATGCCCAAGTGAACTCCGTACACTAATGTACGGGGATACGCTAACATACGGGGATACAGTAACGTACCGGAACATACTATACGCTAAACACTATACGCTATACGCTGTGAAGTCACCAGCGTGACACCGCTACACATCAATACTGCGGGGATAGCTTGGCTGCTGTGATAACGGAACATGGTATACGAGCACCAGTGGAACGACATCAGTCTTGTTTTGTGATTCTACTCATGATAGTTCAACCATGCTTATTTTGACAGCTGGCGAATGCGGCCAACTCTTTTCCACACTTACAACATCAACTTGCGTGCCACTGGACAATGTATTCCAGAAATACATTCATGTCAGTCAAATAAATGCCTCAGGTGACTATGTGGCACCAGCTGACATTTGCCAGCTGGGAAGCTGCGTAAGCCCTGGATCACACTAAGGCTGCGTTTACACGACAACGATTGAAAACGATTTGCGTTTACACGACAACGAAGTAGAACCTAAACGGAACGAAGTCGTTGCGTTTACTACTATCGTTTACACGACAACGCCCAAAAACGGTACCTTAACGGAACGAAATGGAAACGCACTTCAAAGTGTTTTGAAACGTTTTCAAAACGTTTTCGTTCTCGTGTAAACGGTGAAAACAGTGAAAACGATTGGAAACGGAGCGCGGTCATGGAAACCATTCCGCGCGGGACTATATTTCGCGAGAAATACCTGACCTTTGCGACCACCAGCACGTACCAACTCAAACTAACGTGTTACTTCCCGCCCTTGTGCCAAGCCAGCACGTGCTAACTCAAGCCTGATCGCCCGTTTTCCGTTTTCGTGTGAACGGTTCAAAACGATTTGCCGTTCTCGTGTAAACGGTTTGAAAACGATTCGAGGCCAGCCCGTTTTCGTTCCGTTTCGTAAACGCAGCCTAAGGTCGATCCAGCTATTCAAACGAGAAAGCACTTCACAACTCAGGTGGGCAGGAATAGTAGTAGAATGCGGTTGCGCAGGCTTGTTTTTGTTTCTGAACATTCAAGCCATACCGACGCGGATCTCGTGGATAAGATAGTATTAATATTAGCAATCGGTTACTTACTCACTGCCATGAAAATGATGCAGAAGGTGTTATGCCCGACTTTCAGACGAGGCTGACTGTCAACCGTTTCTTATAGGGCTGAATTCCGCCACAGGTCGTAACAGAGGGTGAAAGGTGAAGCAGTTAACGACGTGAGCACTTGTAAAACACCAGAGCAGTGGACATTAGGAACTGATAGAGATACTGTATCAAGTTCAATCAATTCTTGTTCGGCTCCATGCCTTTACGGTCGCCTTGTTTAGACAGTATCTATATACCATTTCAGTTTTTTTTGGTTTCTCTCCAATGACAAGAGATCCCAAGGCTCTTCGTCTACAGCGTATGTTGTAGGAGCGGTAGTTTGAGGCAAAGGAAAGGGACAGAATCGGTTATAATTCACAAGTATAGTCTCACCCTTCTTCATTTTACTTTAGCACTATATTGATTCTCGTAACACATTATTGAATGGATACTTAACCATTGTTCTGCATGAACATTCTTCAGCCACGACATTCCATTGATGAATGTGACATGAAAATATCGATAAAAAATTAATGGTGTCAATGTTGTGGGGCGATGAAATCAGAATTTGTTCTCTTTATTGCTATCTTAAAATCTCACGCAGAGTAAGTACATCGCTCCTGCCCTTGTACAGTGTACTAGTTGAGCACTCTCCTGCGGGGTGATTTGTGTTATGCTGAGCTCACTAAATTTCGATTTGAGCACTCTGGCAAGCTACGTTGGAGAAAAATCATTGCTTTCAGGTTTCGACTCGCTTTCTATGTGCTGCGAGGACGAGTCCACAAGGGACGACATAGTTCTGTTCTCAGATTCTGGAACAACTTGATTATTGGTTGAGAGTGCGTGTGTATATGAATGTTGGTGCACGTGTGTTTCTTCATGTTGTCGACCACACTTTCCCTTTCACGCGTTATCACCTCAGCTATGCCAGTTTTGTATGTGGAAACCTTTATAATAGCATTATTTTTAATCATTCAACATCTACCTTCAGTGATGAGTTATGTATTAGCGAAACAGCTGTCTGAGGGAGTTTATCAATATCGTCTATGGAAGTGTCCTCGCAATGGTGATGGTTGTGTGCAGGAGGGTCTAGTCGGCAAAAGAGCGCAGTGTAATGGTGGAGGTGACTCAACGTTTTCTTTAATGGCCGAGAGCTCTGTCGCACCGTGTAATGACCTGTCGTAGGGCTATTTTATTCGCCAAAGCATTTGGAAGTAGGACTAGTCTTGGCTCCAAGTTACTATAATAACCTAAAGGTTCCCGTGCATCTAGTGTCTGCTTACTAGTATCAAAGCAGAGTGCTGTCTATACTGGTTACCCAAGGAAGTGTAGCGTGTGCATAGGTAACTGTCTTGGCTGTTTAATGCTGCTGTACTCCTTGTTGTGTATTCCAGGTGTCATTAGTGGTCGATTCACATGGCCTGGCCGGTTGTGTGGATTGAACAGTTATCTGGCGCTAATCTTGATGTGTCTCATTCAGATCATGTTCGCTGCTGTTGCTATAATACACGCAAAGGAAAAATCTGCTGGCAGCCGTCTGGTCAGGATGTTGCGCAGCAGTTTACTACTACTAGTACCATGCTGTTCACGAATTTTTGAAAGTGGCTTCATGCGCATACATGTTCGTGGACGTGGAGCAATATCTGCCCATGCTTTCATCACAAAGGCCATAGTGGCTAATATGAAGTGTTGCTGGTTCCATTGACGCGCGCACGCAACCTAATGACAGGTGCTTGACAGAGTCTCAAACCACACGCACGTTCTAGTACCAAGTTCACAATCATAATCACTGTACAAAATTAGAAAGCGGAGCTACATTATGCTTCCCTCTGTGAACTACATGGATAATGCTAACCCATATGGAGCTTTGCTCTGGACTGTCCACTTCCCTGACAATGCTTGGTGGTCACGTAGGGCACACAGCGCTCCCTGATCTCTCTTTGCAGTCATTCATAAAATGTAAACCACATAAAATTATAGGCTACAACACCCCATGACTTCCGTGACACGAGAATAATTTTAATACCTACAACATACTGCAGAATATAGCACACCTTGTGTAGTAAATCCCTCATACTGAGAGTAGAGAGGGCTCTCAAATTCATGAGATCAGGGTGTAGAACATAGCACAGTACAAAAGCAACGCGTCACGGGTATCACGGCACCCTGACACTCCGCGGGCACTGGATTAATCTTACTGTAACTAGAAGAGCTCGGTGGGGCGATTTTAACCCTCTTTCCTTGTTTTAGGGTACAAATTGACCCCAGGAGTTTTTTTGGTATCATATTCTTGGTTTAGTCTCGTAATAGCTTCCCGAAAAATTTCGGTTTTCTTAAAAAAACTAGATATCAAGGAAAGGACTCGGATGGAGAGCCATGGATTAATTCACACAAAAGAGGAGGGACCAAGGAAATGCAAGTTACGCTAAACTACCTACTTATTCCACTAACACCACCAGTTACTAAACAATCAGCTCATGCGATAACATTGCACGATACTGACCGACCGTACTGACGTTCTACAACTAACTGGGTAACAGCTCTAGGACATCTTGGATGCGCACGTCAACAGTCTTCCAACTGACTTGGAAGGTTCTAATGTATAGCGTGACTTGTGGTTCTATGGTGCTTTCTCTTTTGTATAAACTAGATATCCGTGATAATAATAATTCTTGAATGGTCTAAGTTGTATTACGGAAATCAGGTGTAGGTTCCGTTAGGACCCCAGGAAGAACACCACATCGAAGACTGGTAAAGAAGTTCAATTTTTTGATCACCTATGGTTGGACTCTCCTCGATTTAATATGACATGGATGTTTTAGGGAGTAAATCAGAACTATGAAATCATCCTGCACAACAACAGCACAAAAACTACGATTTAGAATCACGACAAATTGTGTTCAAAATACTTCATCAAGCGAAAGCCGCAATGGTGCGTCATGGGGCGATTTCATGTCAATCATAAAATGCTTAAGGCAACCACCACGGACCGAGGTGCAGCCATCTTGCTCATCTGCGAGGATATCCAAAAGAAAGGAAAGTGGCGCCGCAAAGCAGCAGGAGGCAAGGATGTGAATATCGTGCTGATCGTGGACAAGCCACTCGTTGGTCGATTACTCCTCCGTATTCGAAGCCTCTTTTTTTGGGGCAAAAGAAACCCAATGATTGAAAATGCAATACAAATGTAATGCAAACCAGAAATCCAGAAAACGACAAAAGGTAACCCAAAAGAAAAGGAAAAGATATGTGATTAACACTATGTATGTGTTGTACTTGTATCACCACTCCAAAACTACAGCAGCACTTAATACAGATTGAAATACATCTAAAATCGTAAAACTAAGACAAACAACACGTCACATATACCCCACCACAACCGCCAACTCTCGGAGTGCATTGACTGGACAGTGGTAAGCCGAGCGGGAGCCGCGGATGCACATTATGGCAGCTCTTAGCAGAGCAAATGCTAACTGAGTCCGGATATACCACATAATTTCTCCGTATTTCTTGTTGTCGTTGGTAGCCAGAATACCGCACAAACGCTTGAAGAATCGGTTGGTTTCTGGCGACGTACATCCGGTGGTGATTCCCAAGGGGAACCAGGTTGATGATTCCGTCTCCGCATCTAGGGCTGTTTCAAAGGATAGCACAAGGCCAGTGTGGATAGACGAAAACGTCTTCCACCAAAAGTCCTGAATCGTGTGCCGTCCATGGGCTTTTAGGTGTAAGTTTTCTCCAAGATCTCGCGGAGGCCCCCCAGCTCAGGGATGACATGGTCGTGTTGTTATATCTGCTCCCACTGTCTCTCCAAATTAACAAGCCAGTACCCCCACCTAGCGCCACAGTTCGTTCCAGAAGAAATGGCCTAAACTCAGTAACAGCCTCAGGCCTTGGGTATGTAGAAACCTACACACAGGTGGCTGCCTTGGAAATTCGGTAATTCCGTATACTGTAGCTGTTCTTGTGGCTGTTGTAACGTACATCTACTGGTACAATAGCCACTGCGCCATTCTGTCTGTGCGGGATGTTCACTACAGTGCAACTGCGAACCAGACACGAGATCATTGGACCTCCGCCCAAATGGGAAAAAAACTCGACACAGGCATCACCTCACGCCGCGGCCTCCTTGGCACCTTGACCTGTCAGTTTGCATTGATAATGGACGGATGGTTAGCGGTCTGTCATTCTGGTCTAGGTACTCTGGTCTGGAGATTTGCTGGGACATTTGCTTGCCACGGAGTGCTGTAAGCGGCCGGTAATGCATCACAGTGCCAGTGAATCTGCATATCAGCATTCTCAGTCAGATTGGTAAACACAGGACGGAAGGGGATATCTTTGAGTACCGTTTTTATTCACATACAGCACAGATCCGATAAGGGCACACTGCGCGCATACTTCGAAAAACACAAATGAGAATCTCTAGTGAAGGTACATGCGCTTTACACGCTTTGTTCGAACTAAGGATGAAAAAACATTTCTCAAAACGCGAAGACTGCACTGTAGCCTTCCACTATCTCCATACATCTTCACTCTCCAAACGGTCTCTGGGCTGCACCAATCACTAAGAAACATCGAATATCAAATGTTTTTCTTTTAGTGATTGGTGTAGCCCAGAGACCGTTTGGAGAGTGGAGATGTAAGGATTAAAATCTTTCAAAAAATAAACACGAACGCGGCAAAGTATACATGACATTAGAGAGGAAGGGCCTCTAAAAAAGACACGGCTCATAAAAATGCATTGAAAATACAGGACGCGTGCAAGGACTAGAGAAAATACAGTAGAACGTTTGCTAAGATTACTGATACATAAAGACAGTGCTAAGTGTTTGCACCAAGAGGAGCACGTCTGTGTCGGAGGATCCGGGGCTGAGAGGCATCTTCCACTTCAGCGGTAAGGAACAGGCAGGCAAAATTCATTCCACACATTGTGTGTTCTTTGGTTGCTTCCCGACCTGGCCCTAAATCCATTCATTGCAAGTATACGGTATTTCATCGCACAGCAAAAACTATTGTGATATCTAGAATGGAGGTTTGTAAACCGTGGTGTGCATTTGAAAGCACTGGTTTATTTATTGTATTCAGCTACCATGTAGTGATTGTTCTAACTGCCCGAACAATATATTCGGTTGGATCCCCTGAAACGAATACTTTCCCTATTGATAGCTTGATGATTTCCTACCACTCTCAACCAGTCTTATCATAAGCCATGACTGTGCTTGATGAACAACAAGTATAATGAGGGCGAGGGGGGGGGGGGCGTAGGCTAGTTGATACATTCTTCCAACACGGAAAGCTGGTGCAATCTCAATGTCCCTATCCTCATCCTGAAGTGAAGCATAGGTATAGTTAACGACAGGTATTTCTAATTTTTTGTGTAGATCGATCTGCCTCACTCCAACGTTTATTTCTACGGCTGTCGCTGCAGTTGTTTGTTAGTGGGTGAAGTGGGCGTGTGTGTGTGTGTGTGTGTGTGTGTGTGTGTGTGTGTGTGCCTGTGTGTGTGCCTGTGTGTCTGTCGGTCTGTGCCTCGTGAGGCTCTGTGGCAGACATTTCTTTGGCTCGGTGGATGTGGCTCTCGTGCAGACGTTCCACATGGACATGTCGGCGTCCTTTCGTGTTGCTGGTAGTTGTACCGATCCGATCTCTGCACAAAATGGTTTGCGGCAGGGGTGCGTCATCGCTCCTATGCTGTTCAACCTATATTTCGGATTGGTGATGGAGTGGGGGTCTGAAGTCAGGGAGCGCGGCATTGAGTATGGTGTAGATTTCAGCTTCTTGATTGATGGGCAGTTGTTTCCCCGTGTGGCTGGGCGACGTCGAAAGTCTCAGACTGGTCATGCTGATGATTTTGAGTTTTCCGATGACGCTGCCCTAATCGCAACAACTTGTGCTGCAGCCGACGTCTCCCTATCCGCCTTCTGCCTCACGGCAAGCATGACCTAATGGTCGCGGCTACAGACTCGTTGTCAAGGATTGTTCCGATCTGGCAGTTGGCAATGAAAAGGTTGGAGTTGTCACCACCTTCCTCTATCCTGTTGATGTCCAGAGCTGCCTTGCAAAGGATGCTAGGGCTTTTGGCTGTCTTCGGCAGGTTTTTGCATGACCAGAGCCTGAACCCGCCTAATCAACGGCATTTATACGTGGTATGTGTTCCCCCCACGGTTTTGTGTGGCTCGGAATGTTGGACCCCATTGAAGTCGGACTAGGACAAGCTGGACAGGTTCCATCACGCCAACCTCCGGTCAATCTTTGGCATTTCGCGTGGCCGCCAGTGGGAGCAACTCATCACATTTGAGCAACTGCGGGCACAGTGGGGTGACCCTACTCCACTTTCGTGCATGGTACAGCGAAGAACGCTTGGAGTGGGCTACAAACCCAGCTCGGCTTAATGACAATCCGTTACCCAAGCAGTTGCTCTTCGCTCATCTCCCCCGAACCCTCCCCGGCGTGATGTCGTGTCGGAAGCAGCGGGGGTGAAGGAGCCTGCCCCGAGGACGAATGTGCGCCACGTTTGCGGCCGCATGTTTCGTGTTCGCTATGACATGGCCCGGCCCAAGTGTACACCAGTCCTGCAGCTCCCCGGATCACAACAGCCTTGGAAGGTTCTAAGTTATAGGAATAACATAAGGAGGGGAAGTAAAGGTGAGCGCAACCAAGATAAGCACAAGCTGAAAGTCTCAGCTGTGAAGGCGGATGTTCATGCATGTCGATGACCTTATATTATTTCTAAAAATTTCAAGCTTTTAAGTTGGAAGGCGTTTGGAGTACGGATACAAGATGTGCTAAAGCTATTAGCCAGTTAGCTGTAGAACGTCTGTACCGTCAGTCAGTGTCGTGCAATTCATATCCGATGAGCTGATTGGTTAGTAACTAGTGGTGTTATTGGACACTATGGCGTAACTTGTAGTTCCTTGGCCCTTTTTTCTTTTTTATCAATTACATTAGATCAATGATTAGAGTAATGATTATATAGACTCAATAAGATCACTGCAGGTTCACTGGATGCCATAAGTGGGTGCACGTCCTCAAAACAAAGTATATCCCAGCTATCACCTGCTCACGCCGCACAAGTTTAAATTTCGTAATGGCCTCGGAATATCAGACGCTTTGCAAGCTTTTCAAAATGCCTCGGCAACCCCTGTGGGCTGTGGAGGTTCGGCTTTTATCCTTGCTGTAGACATCGCAGGAGAGTTTTAACGTGTCTTACAAGTCGGCGTCCTCCACAAGGTGCTTAGTTTAGACATCGATGGTCCGCTTTAGAGATGGTTGGTCTTGTATCTGGACGCCCATTCTTCACATTGCCACATTGTACAGCGGACGTCGTCTACGTATATAATCTCCGCTGGAATCCCCAGGCCAGCTTTCTTGGACCAACGGTTTTCCTGTCGTACTGTAACGCCAGCTGTTCTCGCTGACGGAGCCAGCTTAGAGACCTATGCTGATGACATAACGTTGTACAGCCTAGTCATGTCCCAGCAGACCCTTCAAGTCGCCTAACAGTTACTGCAGGTCTCCTCTCAATCGGGCAGTTTTAGCCTGGTTTGACTGTTACCCAACAAGTCCGGTTGAATTGTATTATTTTTTCTTCTTCAGCAGAAACACATCTCACTGTAGACCTTTCGATCGACAACACGACAAACCATTATTATGTGTACACATACATGTTCTTTCTCTTTCCCTCATACTTCCATTAAAGTTTATCTGGCGCGTCCAAAGCGTGACGTTGTCGAGACCAGTTGGTCGACGGAGCTCCTGGCCCCAAATGGCTTTTAGTTAACAAAATAGCGTCTAACCCAGGCACCTCCTCTCTCCGCTTTATTCCTTCATTTTTCGCATAGCAGAACCTCCCTTTTCTTTGCATTGTTTTTATACAGCAGCCGAGCTACTAAAAATTAACCAGTGCATATTTTGATTTTAATCGACTCGCTTGTTCTGCCATTGTGTTTGTACTCCAGTCCAGGAAGAAGAGATACGCCATGGGTCACCTTCGAAGCTACGTTCTTGCATTTCTGTTGATCAGCGCAAGCTGGCTAAAGATAGATGCCCAGTCATATGTGGGTAAGGATGGGGAAAAAAGATCAAGAATTTTTCAATTTTGGATATCGCAAAACGTTATGCGTATAGCCAAGTGAAGGAGACCAAGGTGTTCACAGGACAGGTGAACATTGCACTGCAAACCCTAATTCGTGTTCATGCTGTGCTGGTAATCTGAAAAATTGGCCTTGGAATCCAAATCGTCGGCATAGCAAAGGAAAACAAGTACGCAGACTGAAGTACTTTAAGAGAGCATGTCTGAGAAAACCAGAACATATGTGCAAGTCGATCTCTCAGATTTCGCTCAAATTTTGCAGGTAGGTTTGCTTTGGAGTGTAGATCGACATTCCAAAGCCCGCGCAAAATCTTTTGAAGGGAACCATGAAATTGGCATACCCCTCAATATTGGCCCAATATTGGCACGATTTATGGGTCTACAAACGAGCCACGGCACAGCGTACAAGAACAAGCTACGAACAAAACTCCATCAAGCCAACATTACCTCACCTTAGAAGAGTTCTTGGGGCAGCACTACTTAGCCACGCCAGCATCCCAGAAGACGAGGGCAATCATCCCTTGACGCCACAAATGATCGTCTTGAAAATAGCCAAATTACAAGCGCTGATAAAACAGCGAGCTACGTCCTCAATTAGCAAACACTATACACCGGCAGATAGTAGAACACCTCTTCTAGCACTGAGGACATGTCCTCCATCATCCTTTTGGGGTTTTCTTGAAATAAACAATTTTGAATTTTTCCACTCGACCATTCTGAAATACGTCCAAACTCATACCTGCGCAAGAAAGCTCGCCCCTCCGCGACGTCTAGTCAGCAATTTCTACTCCAACACCACTCCCAACGCTGCAGAACAAAGTGTATTGAGGGATGATTGCCCTCGTCTTCTGAGCGAAATCTGAGTGATCGACTTGCACATATGTTCTGGTTTTCTCAGACATGCTCTCTTAATAACTTTTATAGCGTACGTGCACTTTGATTCAGTGCATATGTAATATTGTGGATATCTCAACAAACAATATTAAAAAATGGTTGATTTGAACGGATTTTCCGAATTTCTGAATTACAGGAAGGCTCCTTTCCTAGGCATCATCTTCGCTGTGCTCCAAAGGAATACAGCGCCCAAAGACGCCCATAGTGTCCCCAACAGTGTTGACTACCTTCGTTTAAAAATTCGGTAATACCAGTGGTAATTCCATCTCCACCACATGTGCTTATTGGCCGACCGCCTCACACAACCAACATAACTCCGAATTAATTCTTTGTTGCCATCTTCAATAGGTCCGTCAAATACAGTAGTAATATGTTTTTCATGGAGTGTGGCTGGTGAACTGTTCGTGCTGTGACCTGCAAACGTCGTGTGGTCTCGTCGGGTCAAATGAACAACCGATTATAACTCCGAACCGTAGCTACTGTAGAACACTGATCAGCCGGACATCAACAATCTGGATGATTGATTGCCCGGATCGCCTGGTCGGGCAGGAAAATTTAATTAGAAGCTTTTTCTAAGTTTTTGGTGATTTTTCCCAGGGGCTGGTGTCCCCGCCTGTGTTTCCACTGCTGAGGTTTCGACTGTTATTTCTGCTGCTATGGCTGGTCGGTCTTTTTTTGTGGCACTTCATCTCGCTTTCCCCTTGTGGGGGAGCTTGAGAGCCGTTCATGGCATCGGAATACGAGCGTAGAGCCGGCTGTGGCACCCTTGCTTGCTCATTTGTATTTGGTGAAGATTTTGCGTTGTCCTGTGCTGTACGCTTTCCCTTTGTGCAATGAGAAGCCAGGTGGTCTGCTGAGTCACACAATCTAAACGCCTTTGTAGTGTAGCGTACGGAGAATACGTGACCACCAGCTGTCCTGACTCCTAATTTATGGCGGAATAGACAATGCATGCCGAGCAAGGTGGAAGCCTAAATAGCATACACCAGACACCACCATCTTCAAACATCGTCGGTTCATTACGTACCCAACACGTACCATACTAGCGGCTTTCCCATAAGGACTCAAGCCTTTCAAAAGTGCCTCGTCTGATATCCATACTGGAGTCATCCAGGATCCTGCACGTACAATATTTCATGAAATCAACTTGACATGTTTTCGGTATAGAATACTTTCCTGCTGACGACGCACTGATGAGGTTGCAAAATGTCATTTTCTCCTCTGACTGCATACACTCGCTTCAGGGCGAAATTCATTGTCATCAATGAGGTCGTTGAATGCAGGTCAGATATGGCGCACACGTACGTAGGTTACCTTTCGTGCACCGCAGTGTGTCACCGTCCGACTTTCCGTTGCCATAGCCATGTGCATTCATGAAAAAAAACATCCGTGAAAACCAGGGAAGAACCAGGTACATGTAGTTGCTGATATCGAAGGTCCCTTCGACAACGTTAATCCCTAATCGGCCTTACAAATGACACTCTGCATATATGTAGGACTCAGTATAGAGTCCATGCACTATAGGATGTCCAGCACCCTATATAGAGTCCACTGGTCCAAAAAAAACTATACAGAGTCCAGGAGTCCACTCAGTTTTGATCAGTTTCATCCTGCCGCGCAATCCCCTATAAAGCCTGGTTCACACTAGGCCGATTTTCCGGCCGACATGGACTCGTACGAAAAATCCTCAAGATCGGGGCGAAAATTGCGTAGTGTGAACTGTGTTGTCGTACAGGGTTCCGACAAATCTGCGGCGATTTTCTTGTCGCACTAGTTTTCGGCCAAGTATCGACTGGTCGATATTTAGCCGAAAAGCCGGCCGATTTTTACTGCTTGCACGTGATGGAGCGGGATTCGGACCAATCACAGTAGGCTTTTCACCATGACAGCAAAGAGCGTCGATGGCGAGCTCATGACCTCTTGTACTTTTGTACTCTTGAGTCTTGAGGAAATGTAATGTCCTAGTACGTCCTACCAAAATTTCATAACCCCCATGAACTCTTGCTTTTATGGATAATCGATGCGACTCTATTGCGAGTGAGTCGTTCCCCGTGTGTGAACAGGCCGTCCGACTCAGTCGACACAGTCGGCAGACTCCATGTCGGAGTCGGTGTCGGAGCACCGGCCGGAAAATCGGCCTAGTGTGAACCAGGCTTAAGGAGTACATTTTTTCTACAAGTCCCCTATTCACGGTCCAGGAGTCCATTTTATCCAGTCACGCCGTCCTGTGTGTTGTGCCCGAAAGAGAACAAACACCTTTTCAGTTTGGCTTGCCTCGTGGCAGCGCATTCCTCTCTTCACTTCAGCCATGGCTGCCAGTTCTGCTGTGCAGTTGCTGACAGTAATCTGTCTCGAGGTAACCAAGGAGGATAAGGAGACGTTAAAAATCAAATCTGGAAAGCGTCTTGTGGTTTTCTGAAGACGTTTCATCAGTGCGCGGGATGAAAGCAGAAATAATTGCAGAACGAGAAGAGTTCAGCACAGTTCAAATCTGACGAGTCAGCTACACTGACACTCTCTTTCGTTCGACACCACAAGGATCCCCTGTTTGGCTGGCCATTGCTGCCAGTAAGGCGTTTGAACTGTTTCATCAGAGCGAGGGATGAAAGCAGACAGCGGAGAACGAGAAAGGTTCAACACAGTTCCAATCTGACGAGTCAGGTACACTGACACTCTCTTTCGCTCGACGCCACAAGAATATCCTGTTTGACTGGACAAGAGCTGCCCGTACCACCGTGTCAAACGGTTGTCCAACTACATAGCAGGACGATGACTGAGGTAAGGAAGCTTTTACTCGTTTCGATTGGTCTGCTGTTCTGTCGTTATGCTTGAATATTTTTCCATTTTCAAGGATCGTATCGCGTTTGTTTGATGTTGCTTGAATGAATGCCCTAAAAGTAATCGACCACTTCGTAATAGTCCTCCAGGACTGCAAGGACTTTGCATCAATCCTATCTGATCGTCTAGCTATCATCAATTATTATTTTATTTCATGAGAAAAGTATTTTTATTCCTGTGATAATTATGTGAACTCCACGACACTCTTCCTCTACTAGGCTCTAGTATGATGTCAAATTCAATGGAGTCCACCAACGCAGTGCCAGTGTACTAGTAGTAGTAGTAGGAGGAGGTTTTATTGTATGCCGATGACAAGAAAAAGCTTCTCCAGCTAGTACATGTACTCGTATTCCATGAAGTAACCGTTTCGTTGAGCAATGGTGAAGCTTGCTATTGCACTTTCAGCATGTGCTAGTATTATGCTGACTACTGCACTATGTTACTCTCTAACACTACTGCGAGGTGAATAGCAATTTCTGGACATGAAAATAAAATAGCGGCCCACTGGCTGTGTGTTTTACATTTTATCTATTGTTTGGCCTAATCCTTCAGTTTTCCAAATATGTGACAATTGCTCATACTGTGTGATCTCTGAGACTTTATAGCAGGATGTTTTCGACAGGCAAAATTTTTGGCCTATATTTCAGTGTATTGAATTCTGGACATGGAAGTAAAATAGCGTCAATAGGCATCCTATACTGCACCATTTTTGTTATTTTTTCTATTGGTGGACTGCAGTTAGCCTCTTCACACTTCCAGCCAACAGGTCCAAGACTTTACAGCGTCTGAAGTGGTGTGCACACGGGGAAGCCAGCGATTCGTTCATTACTTCTTACTTTACTCAAAATTCAAAATTCTCATGCGACATAGTACCACAAAACTCGGTGAAATGCCTCCCAAGAAAAGGCTATCAACAAGGCACCGACACGAGGAGAAACTACAACAGCCCAGCCGTCAACTACAACAAGAAAAACTTCATCAACCTGACTGACTTGACTCTACACGCGACGAAAAATTATTTTACTCGAAATGTCCAGAAATGTACAATGTCCAGAAATAGCAATTCGCCTCGTACATGTATGTAAACGTGCAAGCATCCACCCACGTATGCATTCGTTTCGTATAAATATTTGTTATCCCTCTTGACTTTACGTGTATATGGGTGGACGTTTGCATGGCTGTTGGAGTTGCGTGTGTATTGTGTCTCAACTCTTTTTTTGGTGTTTTTTGCGTTGTA